GGTAAAATAAAAACAATTGAATAAATGTAGAGTAGGTACATCACTGTTACAATAGATCCGTCTTAGCAGTGAAAACAAAGAAACAAATAGAAAAAGAAAATCAGAAGCGTCAGATGCTTACGATAAGAAAAAGGGCAGCGATCGCACAGAATGTAAACCGTGTATCCACTTCACCATATTCATCGCCTCCAAAACTACCGTCTTCATTCTGCCTTGCAGCCACATAGCTGGCAGTGGCATCCAAGTTTATGTCGCTTAATCGATCCAACATTATCATTACCTAAACCTCAAAACATCTTTCTACTGTAGATAATTCTCCTGCCTCCCATTATCTGATAAGAAAATAATAAAATTTAAAAGATTTTAAAGCAACACTAGTACTTTTAAACCCCTAATGTGATTTCTTCACAAAGACATACTTCCCCCTCCGTAGACCATACACGGATAACACCCTACTGTCCTGCAAAACATTCTTAGATTTACCGAAGACATCACTGAACAATTTTTTTGTTATTTCTCCACTTCTTCGCCGTTTGCAAAAAAAACTTTTTAAAGTTGTTGTTAGAATTATAGTTCAAATATATATTTCAGACTCACTGTTACGCTACTGCTATGTTGCGGAAGAAAAAGAACTACAAGTTGTGAGCAAAATAAATGTTTCAACTGAACAATCGATATGCAGGAGGACAAAGAGTGCTCGACCAAGAACTGGTTTATAGGATTTAAATAATTAAAAAATTTAGCTTGATAATTTGAGCTACTGTTATTTTCGTTTTTCCCAAAGTGCAAACTGGTCTTCTACATTTCTTTTGCACAATTATGAGATCTTCTACCAACTTTTGTTTCCATACATTATTGTAAAATGTGACAAGGTAGGTTACTCATGCTAAAGTTTAAACTAGATCGTGCTTATTTATATTTTCATCCATTGGTCATAAAGCTGACTGTTTTCTAGATGAAAATAAGACATATGACAGGAATAAATCAACAAAAACGTCAAGGTATATAAATAAAAGAACAACTGAAAGTTTACGAGCCAATGTGTTAAAGTACGACAGAATATGAATCAAAGCGATTACAGCAAACATAATTAAACTAACTTTTAATTATGTAGAAACAATGCTGCATAAAAAGCAAAAAATATAATTCCAAAGTTTCACTTCACTTTGCGGTAAATTTCGGTCAAAAGTTGATCAACAGTTGTATTGAAATTTACACATAATAAACGTATTAACGTTCTTTAAAAATAAATTTTTTTTTCTTCTTTTCTTACCAAACTCGAAAGACAGAAGGCAATTAGAAAGGGAATATTGCATCATAGCCCTTTTGGTTCTCACCGAAACATTTTAATTACCTTATATTATTTGAAGTTGCAGGCCTAACAAATATGGCCATGAGTATCTCATTGCAACAATACTATGACAACGGTTGCATTAAAAAATTTGCGGTAACATAAAAAACAAACTGCCCCAAATGAACGCCGGTCAAATAGAATTATAAAGCGATATCATCACTTTGTAAACGTTCTTAATGTACTGTTTCAGCGGTACACATATATTCCACAAAAGTCACAATGACCTTTTCAAGTGAATTAGACAGAGTTCATCAAAACAATAACAACTATTAAATTTCTACAAACCAGATTTTCGGCTCACGGCTTTTTCACTTAACGGAATTTTGCCATCAGAGACAAAAATCTTTTCCCACCTTATAAAAGTTGATCCAAAAATTCTGTCAAAAGAACAAAAATGCAACAGTCTATGAAACATAAATAAAACATGATAGAAGGTAGCAATTAAACTTGCCTGTATAGCACTCAGTGTATGCAGTAAGTGAGGATCATGCTCTAATGCTGGAGCAAAGCCGCCGTTTGGCTGCTGACACTTGATTACAAAGTTAGCAATCCGCTCCTTATCCATGTCGTCAAGTTTGTGCATGACGTCCATTGCTGCTAAACACCAGTAAACTCCGCTTAAACGCAAATATTCAGAAACCACAAAATCCTGAAAGACCAATTTCTGAAAGTGAATGAAAAAATTTAGTGTTGATTAAACTGGTCAGTCCTCTGTCAATGGTAGTCAACGTTACTGTCTGTCAGTTGAATTTCGGTTTATGTTTAAACGTCAAAGAAAACAATGCACTAACTGGCCAAAAGTTAAATGAAAGAAACTTGCATAGGAGTCTTCATTTTTCACGTAACCCTTGATAAAGTCTATATGCGATTTTATATTCAACGTTTCCGGTGTATCTGAGTTCAAAATGACATCTTTAGATGGTATACCAAAGAACATACTTCCGGTAGACTGCGATCACCTAAAAATTCATCCAAGGTACCAAATTGTAAGGAAATTCAAAATGATGTGGAAGTTACTTAATGCATCATCAACCATTGAACGACCAGATTTTTGTAATCATAAGGATAATTCACTAAGTTTAATAACAAAATTTTCAATTTTTTTTGTTAATTTTGCTGATTGTTTTATGTCAGCCAGTAAATCTTTTAATTTTATATCAGTTGATTAATTAATTCAAAATTAGTCAATAAATTCTCTACAGTTAATTATCGCCGATAAGCTAACACAAAAGGAACCTGTGTACGAAAGAACATCTCATAGCAAGCGTTTCTGCAGAGACCTTAGAGAAGATTTAGTTTTTCGATAAAACCTCGCGTAATGTAAGTGCAATTTTTAAAAAAAAGAACTGAACGCCTAATTGAACAGAACAAGTTGGAGACCATACTCTACTACCCAGATCTATCGATCATTAAATATATAACTGACATTTGGTAACCGTTGTTTCAACGATAAAAATTCCCTCAAATATGGCACCAGATGGTAAAATTTTTTTAAGGTGTTTAATTACCTTTATTCATATGAATATAAAATAAAAAAATCAACCCAAATCAAATCTTATTTTGAAAAATAACTTCGCTTTCTACCACTAGAAATAATTTATACAGGTTTAAGGTGTTGGTTTTACCAAAACTATAAAAAACTAATAATTCTCATTAAAAGACGCCAAAACAGCACCATACATTGGCAACAATGTAACAGAAAAATTTGCATACATCGGCTAAAACAGAACGAAGTTTAAAAAATAATAAAAACTTTAATAAGAAAATCTTTAAGTGCCTGTGGATTATCTTCAATATTGGTACCACAAAACTAAAAAGAACTGCAAAAACGTTATAGATTTACAAACGGTTTTAATCGATGATGCAATCTTTGAAACGCTCATCAAATTTTTTTGCGAAAAGGAAGTTTTAAAGATCATTTAAATAAAAACAAGCCTTCTGGAAGTCACAAAATTAATCATATAATCATCCAATACTTTCGACAGTCTCCTCCATCTTGTCTCAGTTCCCGATTTTCAAGCTAACAGCCTCCCAAAGTAATATATGCTACTATAATTCAATCTTAAAGAAACAGAGCAAGGATACGTTGAAATAAACATAGAGATTTTTAGTGATGAAAATAACTGTAGCACCATTCAAGAAGAAGCTTGTACCGTTAGAGTTTTTTGAAAACTAGTTTTTTAAGTTATGCTACAAGCGTTTTATCTAATATCGAGCCTTCTATCCTGCAGTAGAAATCAAAAAACTCATATTTACTTGGCGTATGACAGTGTAATCAGCACTGAGACTATTTCAGCCACTGTGTTACAAGCAACTAAACATTTTTGAAAAAAAAAA